ACCTTCTCTTCCTCTGATTGCTGATCATATGGTACACCCCATGAGGCCTCAGGTGCATGCTGGAAAACAGAAGGCAATATAGCAGAAGTAGGAGCCATGAGCATCTGGTAGCTTCTTCATGTAACTTACTTGTACCCTCTAGACCTGCTCTAGCTTGATCACATATGGACTGTTGCTGTGTGCACCCAACCCTATGACTCAGTGCGTCAGATAATATTCAGCTCATGATAGACAACTCAGGTCATCACATGGTAACCTGTTGTCCCATAGTCAAGCATTCATCTTCCACTAAGGCCCAGCAGCAGGTCAAAATCTATTTTTCAAAGGGAGAATAGTTGTCTGCAGATGATGGCAGTGCCTTCCTACAAAATCCTAAAGATTTCATTTGTAATTCACTTATAAGGGCCCACCAGAGACTCCAAACAGCATCTCTACCTGCCTCTGACACTTCCAAGTACCATTGGATCTGTTGGATTAAATGCCCTGGTGGCAGAGAAGCTTGGACCTGATGCAGAGCCTTTTCTTGTTCTGGGGCCCACTCAAAACGAGTGGCTTTCTGAGTCACTTGGTAAATGGACCAGAGTAAAACACCTAAGTGAGAAATGTGTTGCCTCCAAAATCCAAATAGGCCCACTAAGCATTGTGCCTCTTTTTTGGTTTTAGGGGAGCCTGATGCAACAATTTGTCTTTTATCTTAGGTGGAATATCTCTACATGCCCCACACTACTGGGCTCCTAGAAATTTCACTGAGGTAGAAGGACCTTGAGTTTTAGTTAGATTTATTTCTCACCTTCTGTCTCTTGGATACTTTACTAACAAAGAGCTATCTCCTGTTCACGTTGTCCAAGCAGCATAATGTCATCAGTGTAATGAACCAGTATGATAATTTGTGGGAGAGAAAGGTGATCAGGATCCCTGTTAAGTTATAACACAGGGCTGAAGAGATAATTGTAACACTAAGGTAAGACAGTAAAGGTGTATTGCTGGATGAATTGCCTCATGAAATCAAATTTGAATCAGGTTTCTGTTCCTTTGCATTTTTTAAAATTATATAAATCTGGTAAAAATTGTGTAAGCATCCTATCTATAAGTCTACAAGTGTCAGACCTTTCTAATCATATTTCTTCTTCTGCTGTCCATTATGCTAAGTGTGTGTACCTTGCCTTTGGAGATTAAGTGGTACCAGTTAACCCCTGCCACTCCAGGATCCAATCAAACCCATTGCTCTTAAGCTTACTGTGGTCTCTACTATAAGGACTGGCATTAAAAGAAGAGCAATGACAGGGCTCTTCAAAGATACCAGTTCTCCTCTCATGAATCTGTTTCTCAAGATGTTACTGAAGGATACATTTTCTAGATTATCTCAGTGTGGCAGAATAGGTTTGACATGGGAGATCCACTCCAGCATTCCCATTTCCCTGAGCCTCTGAATCCCTTCATCAGTAGTAAACCATGGGACATCAGGCATCTCTAAATCATTCACAGTAGGTCATCTTTTTATCTATACTTCTGCCAACAAGCCAAATAAACTATTTACACCTTTCTTTACTCCATGAACTTCTTAACGAGCTTGTTTCAACAAACTCAGCCTGATCCAAGTGTGTGTTTTTTCCACCATTATCCTACACCCATAAAATCCATTCCCACGCTTGCTCATCAGGCCTAATTAGAAAACTCAAGGTTCTTTGGAGAATAACGGACCTCCTCATGGGTCAAACTATGTATCTCACCCTTATGAGCCTACTGCGATTTGAGCCTAGTTACAGGCCTAGAGGCAAAAGTGGCTGGTGAAGTTGGATCCTGAGGAGTATCAGTGTAATCATGCATGGTCAACACAGGATTAGTTTCCTCAGGTGTGTTAGGAGAGGCCAACACCACAGGGGATGCCTCTGCCACTCTTCCTCAGGCAAAATAATCTTATAGGAGTCTAGGAGCTCAATATCCTCAACCTCATCGGGATCATTCCATCCCACTTTATGGGATCCCATTCTTTTTCAGTAACTTCAGATAACCTTCAAGGCTGAGTATTAATCTAATGTTGTATTTCAGCCAATCAAATTCTGAGGGCCTGTATTTGGGTTTTTGCAGTCTCAGCCCTGTAGCTAAAGGACAGGAGACTCTCTTTCAGGGCACACTTAGAGACTTTTAAATTTTGTATGTGTTTCTGGAGCTGGAAATTTGAATCTTTGAGCTCCTTATTTTGCTTTATTCCTCACAGTTAAAAGACTAGATTTCCTATGGATGTTTACAGCTCACTTTTTCCTTCACTAGTTTGTCAAGAGATGCTAAGAGCAACCAGCCAGCATCATTATATTTCTCACTCTCCCAAAAATATTTAAAAGTTTCATGTATGGAGTCACCAAATTCCTTATGTTTCACAAGTGATGAATTAGCATAATCAAATGGACCTCCATTGCACTGGGGACTACCTGTGTTCCCCACAGTATCAGAAGGAGAGACCATGAAATCTTCAGGTCTCATCCAATTAGAGAGCCAACTGCAGGAATCTCTAAAGCCATAAAGAATTTCATCGTTATAATTCTGTTTCTCTAGAGCCATGCCCCAGTACCAAAATCTGTATTAGTCAGTGCTTACTAGAGAAACAGAGTTAATGTAAAATATACAAATATATAAGAATTTATAAGATTGGCCTACAATGGCCACCCACAGAGTCAGAAAAGAAGGGTGCAAAAGGTCTGTCTGCTTTCTAAAGAGCCAAAGGATTCAGTCTGAGGCTTGGGGCTCACTGCAGTGTCCCTTGTGATTCCGTTATCAGGAGGCTAAAGGGTCTGTGCTGGAGGCTGAAGAGTCTGCACTGGAAACCAGGAGATGACATCCAGGGTGAAGGTGAAGACTGGAGCTCCTTTGTTTCCATTTTATAACATTCAGGAGATAAGCTGTCCTATGATGGATTTTCCATACCCAGAACTATGCTGATTCAATTTAGTTGGGTGTTTCTTAATCAAGTTGACACAATCAGTTAATTAACCTACCAATGAAAAGTTGGTTATTATAGCAGTAACCACAGAAACAGCTCAGTTCTTCATGAATGGTTCCAAACCATTTGAACTCATGTTAGTTCCAATAGAATTCATTTTAACATTTATTTTCTGAAAAATAAAAGATATCAATTTTTTTTCCTTTCTATGTGAAGGTTGTAAGGTAATCTTTTAAAAAGAACCTTTTTTGGCCTACCACTCCTTTCTGAGTGTTGCTCATATAAATATTGTTCCAGTTAATTTACCTTTCCCTCAGCCATGATCTTCTGTTGACAGCTCTTTTGACATTTTGTATAATGAATTAAGTTTAATATTTTTTATTGTTCTTCTTATATATTATTACCCACTTGGAGGCTTAAGCAGAAGAATTACAAGTTGGAGGCTAGCCTGGCCACATAGGGAATACTAGGACAGTCTGACTACAAAACAAAACCCTGTCTCAAAACCAAACAAAAATTTATTACTAAAAATTTTCAGTGTTGCACTAGTTGTGACTTTTGTACTTTTTAGCAAGAATCATAGCTTATTCAGAGAATACTAGAATAGTGTGTTATTGTTATGGAAATATTGGCAGTAATTTATACAATCATACCCCTGATAAATCATATATGCTATTTAATTGTTAATAAAATAGCATATTTGTCCTATACAAGTAGTCTACAAAACATTGAGGAAAATAGTAGAAAGTTTTTGTAAAAAAGAATTGTACCATAGAAGGAAAAACTATACATTATAGAGATGGTAATTTTTCCAAATATACTTTCTGTACTAGATGTGACTCCAGTTATCCATGACAAACTAGTAGAAATTGAAGACAAAGACAGCCTCTATTGTGTATAGCAAGTTTTTCAGAAAATATGACCATGTAACAGTATGGAGAGGCCAAGAAAGGCCGATATTCTCTGTTGTTATTGTTGTGTTTAGTTTTTTTTATTAGTATATGTTTGCAATAATACATAATAATTACATTCATCTTAGGGGATTTGTTCTATCATCTTAAGCATTTTTACTTCCCCTTCCCACCCTCCTATCTTCCCCCAACCCCAGATCACTTTCCCATTTTCACAAACTCTACCTCCCTGTTTCAAAGATAATGGAATCTAGAGCATGTCTGAATTCTGGTGCTTATTGGGACATATAGGTGATGGGAGCTGTCTGATGGAACAGGAACTATCTTTGCAGCATTGTGGATGGATTGGCTTTTGAAAGGAAGGGAAAATCAAGGGCTTGTATTTTTTCTGTGAAGTAGGAGGCTGTGGAGAATGAGTAAATAGGAAATGAGTATATTAGAAGTTTGAAAATAGATATTTTAAAAAGTGAAAATACCAATTCAATAGAAAAAATGAATAAGATTGCTGGGCATTACAGTATTGATCAAAAATTTATAGTGATAATGTTCTGCTACGTTTTGTGAACTCTCATCCCTACCCCAAGATTTACACTTAAGATTTTCTATTGCAAATGTGGAAAAGGCAAGTGGTTATCCTGAGGATCTTGAGGAAGTCACTAATCCATCCTAACTCTTTACAGATAAGAATAAGTACAACTTCTACTTAACACAGTCACATCCGAGGCCATTTGCTGTAGGACAGCCCACATCAGTTAAAGCAAAGTGGAAGAGGATGAGTTAGAAAAAGTTAAATGTAGCCACATTTTAAGTGCTTTGGAAAGTTGAATTAGCTTATTCAGTGTGGGGCCATTTTCAAAGTTTTCTACTATTGATTCTGATTATTTTCATGCCTTTTAAAAAAATCAGTCTATTTCAAAATGTTTGTATTTCATTTCCTTGTGGAAAACTTAAACAACAAAACATTTTTTCTTAGAATAACAAAAATGTTACATTAAAAGTTCATAACTGAAAAAATAAGAATATACACATTTTGGGTAGACCAAAAATAAGAATTAGTATTGTCTTTCCATTTTATACTAAAAATTTGTATTTAAATGCACAGTGTAGTCAGTATATTTCCTACTAATATAATATTTCTTTTTTCTTCTTAGGAAATAGTCTAGTAAGTTTAACATTTCATTTATTTAGTCTTCATGGACTAATTGAATACTTCCATTTAGATATGATGAAACTTCGTAGATTTTTAGGTAAGTGCTTCGGACCCACTTAACAGTAAAAGGATTTATATAGAACTTGTTTAACTTTTTATCAGTTTTATCAGGTAGCTATTGCTCTATCACAAATCACTCAAATTTAGAGGCTTAAAACACACATTTGCAATTGTGTACCACATGACATTTTGGTCAGTGAGCAGCTGCACATGACAGTGGCCCCATAATATTTTATCCTCTGGTGGTGTCATCGCCACCTTCATTGTGCAAGTACATTCTATGATGTTTGCACAAGGATGAAACCACCTAACTCCACATCTCAGAATGTGTTCTGTTGTTGAGTAATGAAAGACTATGCATATGAATTGTGAAGTGATTCCTGATTCTGGATAATTTTAGTTGATAGCTACATGGAAAGTATGAGATAATTCATAATTATCACAGTTTTTTAACATGTGTACATGTGACCTATTATAAAATAGGGATCATTGCCCATTTCTTTTCTTTGATGTAGTTATGATTCAAGAAGATTACCACAGTCAGAATCCTTACCACAATGCAGTCCATGCTGCAGACGTTACTCAGGCCATGCACTGTTACTTAAAAGAACCTAAGGTAAGAGGTTGAAATTTACTTTAGGTGGACATTACTAGAAAATTTCTGTGGATGTATTACCCCACCCCTGGTACCAAGAATCAAACTCAGGACCTTGCACTTGCCAGGCAGGCATGGTGCCACTGAGCTACATCCCCAACCCGGGATGTACTTTTAAATACTTTGTCTTAAATTAATTATTCAAAATGAGGAGCTTCTTTCATAAAATTGAGATCTAGTTTTTCTTAATGTGGCTTTATTTGTAACTGTAATAAGTAGAGAATTGGGATAATGGTTGAGAGAGAGGCTGAAGAACCCCAAGCAACGACAAGATCACTTGAAACTTTGAGCAATGAAGACACTTGGTATTTCCAGTGAGCACCACTAGTGCCATGGGGCGGGACAGCCTTATTCTGGTTCAGTGAATGAATGGGAATTGATGGAAAGGACTGGGGAGACTAGGAAACTGTCCTGGCTGTGATGTGAAAATAAGGCAGACAAGACCAGGATCATGACTACCAGGAGCTATTTCATTGCTCCATCCAAGAGACCCTGGTGGCCATGGAGAAGAAGAGAAGTGGGTGGTTTGTCTTTTGAGAATTAGGATGAGCAGGGTGTGGTGTGTGAACACATCTTGAGGAAGGAAAAAGAGAAGTCTGTGAAGACTGGTTTGGGTAGTTGAGTAGGAGGTGGTAATCTTGTAGAAATGTAGAAAGAGGGGAGGTACATAAGATCCTAATGATATAATTGACAATGTGAAATAAAAGGGCTAAAGGTGTAGGGGTAATGGGAAGAGTAAAGGAAAGGTAATAAGGGAAAAGGAAAAAAATGAGAAAATGAAAAAATGAAAAAATGGAAATAAAGTATTTGTAAATAGACAAGGGAGGAGGGAGTGAAGGGAGGGCAGGGATAAGGGGAAAAAATGAGAACCAAGACCTGTCATGTAAAGGTACAAGATCCCAATGATGAGTGTAACTGTGCTGTATACCTAAAATGTACCAATAAAATCAATGAGGAAAAAAAAAAGAAAAAGGGTAGGGCTGATAGAGATAATGAGTATCTTTTGTGTATGTGAAGTGAAATGTATTTGCATGACATGCAGATGGAGATGTCTGCTGCACAGCTGCACAAGAATTCAAGTACAGAAATTGCAGTTGAGATAAAGATTTAGGAATCAGAAGGTGAAGAAGTTATTAAAAGCCATCTGCCCATAGATGTCTTCTATACCTTAAGGTTCTAAAATTGCATCTGCCTGCCCCTAGCACTGTTGAGAACTATTCTCTCCCTGCACCTTTGGTCTAGCCAGATGTTAGGAGGAAAGTAAACTGAAGAAACAGGATCATACCAGTTGATGCTGATGTGAGAACAGAGCCAAGCATTTCATCTTTTAAGAGACTGTGGTGTATATGAAAATGTCCCAATTTTTAAAATATGTGTCATAACATTTTAAAATCATCTTTATTTTGATATGTTACACATAAAATTAAATTTAGACATTTTGTGTATGTTTTAACGTATGTGTTCTCCAAAGTGGCCCAATTTTTTGGAAAAGTTTTTAAAAATCTACAGGCCAGACTGAGATCTAATTGAGAATCTTATGGAAGAAATTGGTAAGGAATCACAATACCATTTGGAAAATGAAGATTTCCTTGGGGCTCAAAGGAGGGTAGACTGGACAGAAATGCTTCTCTTAAATGAGGCAAGGGGTTAGTAAATTGGAGTGGTGCCAGTGAACAGGGTGAGGGAAATCTGTGTATAAATGAATACAAACATGGTTTTAAACATTTTTTTGCCTCTGATGATTCTTAATTTAAACATATATAATCATAACAAACACAGTGAACTCTAAAACTCAAATTAAAGCTTCAATGAAAGAAATAGGTAAAAATCACTGAGTCCTAAATGTAGCAACTCTTTTTTTCCCTTGTCATAGTTTACATTTTAAAATGGTTAAAAGTTTTTGTTTTGTTTTGTTTTGTTTTGCTTTTTTGAGACAGGGTCTCACTATGTTGTTGGGACTCTCCTGGAGCTCACTATGTAGCCCAGGCTGGTCTCGAACTCACAGTGATCCTCCTGCCTCAGCCTCCCGAGTACTGGGATTACAGGTATGAGCCACCATGCCTGGCTAAAATGGTTGAAGTTTTAAAAGGGAATCCTAAATATTGGAAGCCTTAAACTTGTATCACTGCCAGGTGTGGTGGTACATGCTTGTGATGCCAGAACTCAGGAGTCTGAGACAGAAAGATTACCATGAGTTTGAGGCCTGCTTAGGCTACATAGAGAATTCAAGACCAGCCTGCACTACAAACTAAGACCCTGTCTCAAAAATCAAACAAACAAAAAAAGATCGTATCACTTTTATTTCCTGGGCCTTTAGTTGGTTCCTTTTTTTTTTTTTTTTTTTTTTTAGTGTTTTCATTCATTATCAATATGTATTCACTTGAGCATCTTCTGCATGCCAGGCACTATGTTGGTGCTAGGAATTTAGTGGGGACCAAGGAGGAAAGTTCCCTGTCTTCATGAGGCAATCATTGAACAGATAAATACAATTTGGACATGCTGTCCAGTAATTATTGCTATGGAGAAACCAAAATATAATATAGTGTGCTGGAGAGTGACTGAGTGGATGGCAGGAACTTACAATTTAAATAGAATGTTCAGAAACCACTTAAACTGAGGAGTTAGCCAGGTGCAGAAGCAGTAACCAGAAAAGTTTAAATAGATATAGTTAGTGAAAATTTTGTCTTTAGCTTGTATACCTTATGATTTGAGAGAACTGATTTTTTGTACTCTTCCCTAAGTAAAAAAAAAAAGAAATATTCTAAGCTAGAGAAATTACTAGAAACATATGAAGAAGACACTTATCTTTGTACATGCACCACTGATCCTTCTGTATTTATTTTTCATGTCCTCAAGGCTGAAATTATATGGTTTATACAACATTTATTTTGGTTAAACCTAGTATCTCTTTGATTTATTTACACTGGTAACGTTCATAGTTGTCAGCTAAAGAAATTGTGATTTTCCACTGTTTCCTATTTTAATTTTCATCTTCATGCTTACATACAGTTTTAAGTTGGCTATTCTATTAGTCATCCCTAAATATTCATGGAAAATTGGTTCCAGGACTCCTTACTCCAACCACTGGATCTCAAGCCCCTTATGTAAAATGGCATAATATTTTCATATAACCAATGCACATCCTCCCATATACATACTTTAAATCATCTCTGGTTTATTTATACTATCTAATATAATGTGAATGTTACATAGATAGATATCATACTATATTATTTAGGGAATGAAGATAAGAAAAATATATGTAAATATTCATTTGATATGCAGTTAGATCCAAGGTTATTGAATATACTGATACAGAACTTGCAGGTATAGAGGGGCAACTATTCTGAGTTAACATACACTAAAAGTAGGGTTAGATAAAAAAATTATATTTATACATGTCCAGAGGTAAACAAACCAGCTTGAATATGGTACCTCTAAATATTGCTCTGCTTCTCCCTGGCAGTTGACATAAGAGCCTGTCTCCCCATACCCACGTTATGCCTCCTTGTCACGTTAGCAAGACTAATGATGGTTGAATTGTTTTTCTTGTAGATGTGCATTTATTAATGAACCGACAATATGTCAAATAACATGCTAGTTTCTGATGACAAAAATGTGAATAAGATAGGAATTTTGATCTCTGGAATGTTAGCTGTGGAACGTGTTGGAACATAAAGTGGAAAACCACAAGAATGTTAGCTCCCAAGGCAAGAATTTTGTCGTCTGATCACTAAAAAATGCCTGCTCATGGTGCACAACTCAGTCATTGCATTAATGGAGAGACATTTCTGTATGGTGTTCAGAATTGACTGGGTTTACTTTAACTGTTTTCTTTGTTTTTAGACCTCTAGATTGTTCCTGATTTTACTGTGACAGCTCTTAGTACAGAAGCCTCTCTGTGCTTTTCTCTTTTGTGTGTGGGAGGTGGTTTTCTTTCAGTAAGCTCCAAGGACTGACATTTCAACAGTCTGGATGTGAGCTTGGCACAGTGGTGTACACCTCTAATCCCAGCTACTCAAGAGGCTGAGGCAGGAGAATTGCAAGTTTGAGGCTAATCTGAGCAACATAGCAAGACCCTGTCTCAAAATAAAACATAATAAAATAAAATTGGCTGGGAATGTAGCTCAGTGGTGAAACCCTTGGCCTAGCATGCATGAAGCCCTGGGTTCATTTCTCAATACCATCAAAAATTAAAATAAAGCACTTGGATACTTTATAAATAAATGCCAGTTTTTCCCCCTTAGCAAGGCATCAGTATCTGTTACCTTCTTTCTGGTTTTAGATATATTTTTTGATGGAAGGAACCAAAAAAAAAAAAAGCAATTCACATTACTTGTTTTGGTCTGTTTTACATTCACTTTTTTTTTTTTTTTTTTTTTTGAGACAGGGTCTCACTATGTAGTTGAGACTGACCTGGAACTCACTTTGTAGCCCAGGCTGGTCTCGAACTCACAGTGATCCTCCTGCCTCAGCCTCCCGAGTGCTGTGATTACAGGCATCCGCCATCATGCCCGGCTCTGTTTTGGTCTGTTTTGAGCTTATAATTTTTTTGTTCTATGCATTTTCTCTTTTGGATAATGCCTGTCTAGGCCTTTGTCCTTCCCTAGAAAATATTTCTGTACCATATTGTTTGCATTTGCATTTCAAATATGGATTATTTTTCCTTTGTTTCCTTACCTCATAGCTGTTGAAATCAATTATTTTGAAATCAGTTGAATTATGTACAATAACTATTACAGTGGAAAATCTGCATAATGCTAATATACAATAAAAATAGTTTTTTTTCATTGAACAAAGGAAAATTCAAGGTTTCCTATTTTATTTAAAATGGACCTTGATAGCTTTGCATGTAGAAGTGAAATTTGACTTTCATATTCATTAAATAATTCTCAGTGCCTTTTTCATAAAACTTTTATTATCAAGTATTACCAGATATAATAACAGGATAGAAATAACATTTGCCTCTCGAAAATCCACTTTAAAAAGCTGTATTGACATCATTAAATTGTCTTTGTTATAATAATTCAGTTTCTTTCTACTGAAAGATTTTTTTTTATAAGCAAAATACTACATTTTTACGGCCATTTTTTGTACTTTGCCAATGTGGTTTGCTTTCAGACTTTATTTACACAGAATGTTTAAAAATTCAGTTGCATGAGCCAGGGATGTGCTCAGTGGCTTTACTTCTGCCTGGTAAGAGCAAGGTCTTGAGTTCGATCCCCAGAACCTGAAAATTAATTAATTGATTGATTAAGTTGCTGCTTCTCATGTTTCAACTTTTATTGTTAACTCTTTACCTCAGATTTTGTAAAACCAAATAATTTTATAATAAATCTGATTCTGGATTATTGTATTCACCCAGGATGGCTTATGTCTCTCCTACCACTTCCACTCATAGTTATCTTAACTAGCACACTTTTACACCTTGCTCAATAAATTGCACGTACATTAGATACACATACCAAGCCCATTGTTAATGTGTCAGAAAAAAATTGCTTTATATGCAGTGTACCTTCTGATCATCTTACTCGTAAGCAGTGCTTTAAAAATCTTTAGAGCTCAGAGGTGCAGCACCTACCTTGCAAGTGTGAAGCCCCAACTTCAATTTCTGGTACCAAAACAGGAAAAAAATAGAATGCTTTTCCATATCTTCGTGAGATGCACATTTTCTTCACCATCTTCTCCCTATTTATTGAACTTTTTCTCTGTGTACTAACTGTGTGATATAAAATTAAATAGCACACATTTTCTACCTTCACACAGCTTATAGTTTCTATGGAAATTCAAGCTGTTAGTGAATTTTCTAATAGAAGTAAATTTAACACAGGGAGTTTAAAAAGATGACTGATTCTGATACATAAAAAAATAACTGAATTTGAATCTAAATATTTTTCATTTAAAATTTTTCAATTTTCATCTTTGGTTTATAATATGTAATATATGTCAGTTCAGTATCATAATCTATAAATAAAGATACCCATGTTAGTGGTATATTCTTAAATTTTTTCACTATTAGAATGCAAGATTATAAACACAGAGTGTTACCCTAATATAAATCCAAAAAATTATGCCCAAATGAATGCTGTCGTGGCAGAACCTGTGAAGTGGTATAGGAACTCAAATCAGTCTTTTGCTGGACAAGGAGCAGAAAGGAGAGAATGAGGACCGTTGCAGTGGAGTTGGAGACTTCTGTTGATAAGATTCCTGAGTAGCTTTCTTAAGCACTAGGACTACAGTCATAACCTGCTTTATAAATTATATGGATGAAATTCAGTGAGCAATTCGTTACTAAATACCCTCAAAATTATGGTCTTCTGTATGGTAATGGCTACAATAATAAAAAAATACAGAAACCTTTGTTATTTTGAAGCCATTGTTTCTCAAGAAGAACAGTTTATAAGCCATTCCAGCAAGTGTTTTAAAAATGAAGTAGTAGGGCTGGGGATTTAGCTCAGTGGTTCTGCTGCCTGCCTTGCAAGTGCAAGGACCCGAGTTTGATCCCCAGTACAAAAAATAAATAAATAAATGAAGTAGTATAAGGATGAGCTCTGTAAACTGCTTGAGTGCAAGGACACTATAATATCATAGCTGCCCAGTATCCTGATGAGGACAGTCCCTGGCAGGTGCCTAGTTTTAATGAACAGTCTGCGTGAGAAAAAAAACATGAAATGGGAGAAGATTTAGTAACCTAAAATTGTTCTGGTGGTGTAGGGTTTATTTTAAATATATTTGCAATTAATTGTTCTTTTGTCATACTTTAGCTTGCCAATTCTATAACTCCTTGGGATATCTTGCTGAGTTTAATTGCAGCTGCCACTCACGATCTGGATCATCCTGGTGTTAATCAACCTTTCCTTATTAAAACTAACCATTACTTGGCAACATTATACAAGGTTAGTGCAACTTTATCATGAATTTAATGTTTTTCATTTGAGAGTAAATGTTTTATGTTTTCAAGAAATGAAAGTAGTGATAATAAATTCTCAGTGAATATTAGAATTTTAACCAGATTAGTATGACTGACAATTCTTTATGTTGAGAAAGAGACTTACCATTAAATAACTAAGAAACATTTTTTGTAGAATACCTCAGTACTGGAAAATCACCACTGGAGATCTGCAGTGGGCTTATTGAGAGAATCTGGTTTATTCTCGCATCTACCATTAGAAAGCAGGTAGGTTGGATTAAGACAAATTTATTTGTAATCAACTATGGAAATTAAGTTGGCAGAGAAATTTATAGTTTTTATAACTATATTATTATATTTAAGTGTTCCACAGTTCTCAGGGGTTTTTTCAATTGAATAAATTAAAAACTATGTTATATATTGTGTATAAAATTATGCATTTTTAAAATTTATATCAAAAGTTTAATTATTTAACCCTCTTCTATAGTTCAGTCAGTAGTATTTTAGTGGATTTTTAAGTGAAAGACCATTCCATGAATTTTAGTTCTATAAAAATAACTATATGCAGTAGTTCAGTCATAGTTGACTACTTATTTATATAGGTAAATATTATATATTTCCACTTTATACTCAGATGAATAAAGCCATAAGGTCTACTTATAAAGGTAAATTGTATAGAAAGTAAACATTCTTGTTTTTTTGTTTGGTTTTGTTTGGTTTTGGTTTTTTGAGACAGGGTCTCACTATGTAGTTGAGATTGACCTGTAACTCCTATGTAGCCCAGGTTGGTCTCAAACTCACAGCGATCATCCTGCCTTAGCCTCCCGAGTGCTGGGATTCCAGGTGTATGCCACCATGCCCAGCTCAGAAAGTAAACATTCTTATTAAAGTAGACTCTTTAAAATCTGTCTCTGAAATTTTCAAAACTGAAAAAAAAAAGTAAAAGAGAATGTCCTAAAAGCATAGTTGTTCGACCAGGGATTTAGTGCAGTGGCCCTGTGCAAAAAAAAAAAAAAAAAAA